ACTTGCAACCTCTCCTCCAAGATCATCCATGTGACGGAGTTGTCAGGAGGCATGCCTTGGGACTGTAGGTGGCAGCGGCTAGACCTGGGCCTGCTCTACCTCGTGCTCATCCTCCCCAGCTGCCTCACCCTGCTGGTGGCTTGCACCATCATTGTCCTCACTTTTAAGAAGCCTCTGCTTCAGGTAATCAAGAGCCGCTGCCACTGGTCCTCCGTATACTGACCCAGCTGTGTGCCAAGTCTCAACATCTGGTCTGCATGTAGGGGGCCATTTTCTCTGCTAGCTTTCAAGATGTGATGCAGAGGCCAAGTCTGATGAATTGAAGTTTCAATTAAAATTTAAAATGATTCCATTCCTTCTTCTCCCCCAACTTCTTTTTCCATCCTTATAATTCATCCTCATTATCTTGGTAAAATATTTATTAAGTGACATTTTATAGAAATAAAAGACAATGTGTCTCATAAATATTTTTTAAGTTAAATACAGTTTGCGTTTCTTTTTTAAATGTTCTTTAGTGGTTTCCCTTGGATTATTTTTTAGTGTCTTTCCCTTGGTGACATCCATGGAGCTGAAGGGTAGCAATTCAATGCTAGAAATGTTGAGAGGCCGTGCCCTGGGGATTCACCAAGGACAAAAATTTCATAGCACAACAACAGCAACAAAGAATTTCAAAGCATAGCTGGAGGGTCTGACATAAGATCATAAAATGAGGACTCTCACCTGCTGTGTGACTGGCCACTGCAGTCAGAACTGGCCTGTGATCCCAGCACTTTGGGAGGCTGAGGCGGTTGGATCACCTGAGGTCAGGAGTTCGAGACCAGCTTGGCCAACATGGTGAAACCCTGTCTCTACTAAAAGTATAAAAATTAGCCAGGTGTAGTGGTGTGTGCCTATAAGCTCAGCTACTCTGGGGGCAGTGGTGGGGGAGCGCTGAGATAGGAGAATTGCTTGAACCAGGGAGGCAGAGGTTACAGTGAGCCCAGATTGCAACATTGCTCTCCAGCCTGGGCACCAAGAGCGAGACTCTGTCTCAAAAGATAAAAAACGAATGGACCTCTGGCAGGGCCCTTTCGAGGTGCCCTGGCTTCACACCTGGAGTCTCTGGCAGACAGACATGACTCTTCCATGGAGAAACTAAGAGAAAACAACTGGCCCCGAGTTTATCCAGTCAGTAAGCTGGATACAGTCCTCGTTCTGAAGGGAGGTAAAGAGGAATGCAGAAAGGAATGAATTCTGCTCACTTGTGAACCCCCCTAACTCTTTGCAAAAAAATTGACTACAACTTCTTAGCAGATGTTCAGTATCTGTATTCACTAGATTCTTAGCTTTCATTCTCTCTCTATTTATTCAATGACTAACGAACAATTTCTGTGCTCCTACCTGGGAGAAAAGATAAAAAAGACATAGCTCCCATCCTTTGGTAGTTCAGAATTTACACTGTCCTCAACGTTTTTAATCCCTGCTTACTAAATCATAAAGGAATTAAATGCAATGGGGGACCGATGGGGAGGGAGAGAGGCTAGAAATCCCACACACTGATTGCTATTACCATGCAGACTAACTGTCAGCAGAAATGTTCAGGCAAATCAAAGAGATAAAATCAGTGGTCTTACTTTGACAAAGCAGGAACTTCCCTTGGATGCTCTACAGAGGTTTGAACAAGGCCATTTCAGGCTCCCCATTCAATAGTATTCGTGGCAGGCCCTATTAGACTTTGCACTTATTATGACCCCACCTTTCCCTCCTGCACTGCGCCCAGCCTAGTGCCTGGGATGTCTCTCAGGTTGCCTTGAAGCCTTCTGGGCTAGTCCCATCAGCCAAAGCCCATCGGACCAGACTCTCCTGATTTCCTCTCCCCATCAACCAAAACCTTTTCCCTGGGGTCCTGCTGTTTCCCAATGTGACAACTAGCTAATTAGACAAATAAGAGAAATACATCCATCTGTGGCTAGTGGATTCAAGGCTTCTCTTGAGTTAATGCCTCACCTCTTTTTTTTTTTTTTTTTTTTCTTTTTTTTTTTTGAGATGGAGTTTTGTTCTTGTTGCCCAGGCTGGAGTGCAGTAGAGCAATCTCGGCTCACTGCAGCCTCTACTTCCTGGGTTTAAGCGATTCTCCTGCCTCAGCCTCCCAAGTAGTTCGGATCACAGGCATGCGCCACCATGCCTAGCTAATTTTGTATTTTTAGTAGAGACAGGGTTTCTCCATGTTGGTCAGGCTGATCTCGAACTGCTGACCTCAGGTGATCTGCCAGCCTCAGCCTCCCAAAGTGCCGGGATTACAGGCGTGAGCCACTGCACCTAGCAATGTATCACCTCTTGTATCAATCAGTGTTCTTAGTCTCATGCAACTAAAGATGGTTCTGTCTGATTTAAGCAGCATACGCATTTAGTAAGAGAATGTTGGTAAGCTCTGGACTCACGGGAAGGCAGAGGAACAGGCTCGGAGAAAGGGCAGGAACAGGAGATGCTGTGCAGCAATTGGGATCACAGTCCAAACCATGCCATGAGCAGTAACTGTGAGAGCACGACTGTAGCCTCCTCTGCCACCTGCTGCTGAAATAAGCACTCCCCAAATTCTGCTGTGTCACCAGCTCCTGACCCTAGGCCATGTGCCCCTGCCCTGAGTACAAGAAAGACTGGCACAGCAATGCTTTACCTTTTGGCGAGGTGTCTATGGTGGAAGACAGGCTCTAATTCCTCCAAATACTCATGAGGGGGCAGAGTTCTTGAAACATAAGAAGGGAAGTGAGATGCTGAGCAAACAATATGAATGAAAAGTAAGTCCCATACCCTTTTATGGCAGCATGTGCATTTAATTAATTTATTTTTTAGACGGAGTCTCACTCTGTCGCCCAGGGTGGAGTGCAGTGGTGTGATCTTGGCTCGGCAACCTCCACCTCCCGGGTTCAAACGATTCTCCTGCCACAGCCTGCCAAGTAACTGGGATTACAGGCACATGCCACCACACCTGGTTTTTCTGTATTTTTAGTAAAGTTGGGGTTTCACCATGTTGGCCAGGCTGGTCTTGAACTCCTGACCTCAGGGTGATCTGCCCACCATGGTCTCCCAAAGTGCTAGGATTACAGGCATGAGCCACCGCGCCCAGCCCGCATGTACAATTAGCAGATGACTCCTGGAAGCAAATTCTTAGCACAAAGAAATGACTCAAATGGTGAAAGCTTCAGACAGAAGCTCAGGCCAGTGGGGGAGACAGTTTGGGTTTCAGCAGGCATTTTGAAACATGTAGCTGACCACTCAATCTTTCTGTTCTTAGGGTCCATCCCGGAAGGATGGCAAATTAAGCCCCAGCCCTGCCTGTGACTGTGACTTTAGAAGGCTGTGGGCTTTCCTTCCTAGTGTTTTCCATCACAAGGATCCAAAAGTGAGTTCCCACTGGGCACGGTGGCTCACACCTATAATCCCAGCACTTTGGGAGGCCAAGGCGGGTAGATCACCTAAGGTCAGGAGTTTGAGACCAGCCTGGCCAATATGGCGAAATCCTGTCTCTACTAAAAATACAAAAATTAGCTGGGTGTGGTGGTGGGCAATTGTAATCTCAACTACTCTGGAGGCAGGAGAATCGCTGGAACCAGGGAGGCAGAGGTTGCAGTGAGCCAAGATGGAGCCACTGCCCTCCAGCCAGGGTGACAGAGCAAGACTCCATCTCAAAAAAAAAAAAAAAAAAAAAAAAAAAAGGGGGTTTCTGGGTTTTTCCAAAAAAAAAAAAAAATAAAAAGGGAAAAGGCTTTCTGCCTCCAGCTATGGTTTCCCCCAGCAAATTCTGTCCCCTTTCCCTGCTTCTCCCACTCCAACCTGTGGACATATAGGAGAACATACTGGCGAAGGAAGGACCCTAGAGCCTGTGACCAGATTTCCCTGGTGGGGCCAGAATGGTTGTCAGCCTAAGATCTCCCATTCAGTCAGATGGAGTACCACGTGGCTCTTCTTCAGTGGGTGGGAGGTAGGGGGCCACTTCCAATTGCCACATGCCAGAATATTCAGACAGGAGAATACTCAGAATCACAGATAAATAATACCAGAGACTGGTCTGTGAACATGAGTAACAGCAACTTAGATTTTGAAAATCTAGTCAGCTGGACACGGTGGCTCACACCTGTAATCCCAGCACTTTGGGAGTCCATGAGATCAGGAGCTCAATACCAGCCTAGTCAATATGGTGAAATCCCATCTCTACAAAAAATACAAAAAAAAAAAAAAAAAATGGCTGGGCGCTGTGGCTCATGCCTGTAATCCTAGCACTTTGGGAGGCCAAGGCAGGCAGATCACCTGAGGTCAGGAGTTTGAGACCAGCCTGGCCAACATGATGAAGCCCTGTCTTTAAAAAATAAAAATAAAAATAGGAGCCCGATGGAGCCCCACAGAGCCCCACAGAGTGCGGTTGGCCTCCAATTTTAAAAATTTAAAAAAATTTTAAAAATAAAAAACAGGCCTGGCACAGTGGCTCACACCTGTAATCCCAGCACTTTGGGAGGCTGAGATGGGAGGATCACCTGAAGTCAGGAGTTCAAGACCAGCCTGACCAACATGGTGAAACCCTGTTTCTATCTAAAAAAAAAAAAAGTTAAAAAAAAAAATTAGCCTGGCAGGGGGGAGAGCACCTGAAAACCCAGCAACTGGGGAGGCTAAGGCAGAAGAATCACTTGAACCCGGGAGGTAGAGGTTGCAGTGAGCCAAGATCATGCCACTGCATTCCAGCTGGGTGACAAAGTGAGACTATGTCTCAAAAAAAAAAAAAAAAAATCCACTCATAAAAAAAAAGCTGAAAGTTTTTCTAGAGGCGTGTAAGTTAGGAATCAATTGATTTTTTTTTAAGGACCCAGCTGCAAAGAATTGGACAGGCTCTAATCTTTGGTTCGTATACTGGTCATATCCCTTTTTATTTAATTAATGTGCCAGATGACTTCCATGTGCCCCTCCAGATCCACTTCCCACTCTTTCCCACCCTGCTCCAGGAGGCTGGCCTCAATGGGCTCCCCTACCCATTGGCTTCCAGTGGTATTTGGCTAAGAAGGCAGTTTGGCAAATTAGAGAGGGGGAGGAGAGTCAGAATGGAGTATTTCTTCTCCTGACTCCTCCCTGGAGATTTGTCTCAAACTGGCTGCACCTATCAACCAACTCATACTCCTCCCAAGGTGGCTCTTTGCACACAGATCTCTGACTTGGGTGTCTAGGAACCACTCCCTCTGCTGGCCTTCCTCTCTGGGCCTAGGTATGGGTAACAGCTCTGCCTCACCAGCTTGGGTAATTGCATTATCCTTTGTGGTTTGCCTTCCCCTCTCCACCCCTTTGTGAATCATCCATTTATAAATCCTCCTGATTTGTCCTTGTTTGACTGTGCCATCTGGTGCCTGCTGGGTCCCTGTATGATGCAGCTGGCTACTCATTTAGTAATACTGAGCCCGAGAGATCCCAGTACTTGTATCAGGAAGCCACAGAGTGCTAAGGATGCGGCCAGTGCCAGGAAAGCAAATGCCCCGAAGATGGAGTCCCTCTGATTCGTGGGTGAACATGAGGAAGACAGCATGCCTCAGTGTATTACAAACATTCCTGTTTTACCAAAATTCGAGTGGGAGAAGTTTCTAGCCTTGGAGACCTTCTTTAAGAGTGTAGGTGTTGTGATGGCCAGAGCAAACAGATGATGGAGCTGGGTGGAGGGGGGAGTGTTATCTTAAAAAATACTTCTTGGATGCAATGGCTCATGCCTGTAATTCCAGCACTCTAAGAGGCCGAGGCGGGTGGAACACCTGAGTTTAGGAGTTCAAGACCAGCCTGCCCAACATGGCAAAACCCTGTCTCTACTAAAAATACAAAAAATTAGCTGCACATGGTGGCTTGTGTCTGTAATCCCAGCTACTCGGGAGGCTGAGGCAGGAGAATTGCTTGAACCCAGGAGGTGGAGGTTGTGGTGTGCTGAGATTGCTCCACTGCATTTCAGCCTGGGCAACAAGAGCGAAACTCCGTCTCAAAAAAAACCAAAAAAAACAAAAAACAAAAACTTCCCACTAACCAGTCGTCTTCTATTTCATCCTTATCAACAACTACCAAGCACTTATTTTGTACTAAGTGCTTTATGTGGATAATTACACTTAATCTCAGAGAAAACAACAGGCTGAGAGCAGTTAAGGTTTGTTCAAGGTGGCTAGGCATGGGGGCTCATGCCTGTAATCTCAGCACTTTGGGAAGCCATGGTGGGAGGATCACTTGAAGATCAGGATTTTTATATATATATATATATATATATGTAGCCTCACTCTGTTCCCCAGGCTGGAGTGCAGTGGCGCAATCCGTCTCACTGCAACCTCTACCCCTAGGTTCACGCGATTCAATTGCCTCAGCCTCCCGAGTAGCTGGGACTACAGGTGCCCGCTACCACACCTGGCTCATTTTCTGTATTTTTAGTAGAGACAGGGTTTCACCATGTGGTCCAGGCTGGCCTCAAACTCCTGACCTCAGATGATCTGCCCTCCTTTGCCTCCCAAAGTGCTGAGATTACAGACACGAGCCACCACGTCTGGCCAGAGGGTCAGGATTTTGAGACCAGCTTGGGCAACACAGCAAGACCCTATCTCTACAAAAAATACAAAAATTACTCAGGTATGGCGGCATGAGCCTGTAGGCTGAGCTACTTGAGAGGCTGATCGCTGGAGCCCAGGAAGAAGAAGCTGCAGTAAGCCATGATTTTGCCACTGCACTCCAGCCTGGGCAATAGAATGAGACCCTGCCTCAAAAAAAAAAAAAAAAAAAAAAAAAAAAAAAAAAAAAAAAAAAACAACACAAAAAAAAAAAAAAAAAAAAAAAAAAAAGATGATTTCCCCAAGAACTGTGGTAAAGACTTTGGCATTATGCTAAAGAAGAAAAAACAGCTTCAGCAACTTGATATCTTTATCAAGTGTATCAAACTGCCAACTGATAGTGGTTAGTGGTTGCTGAACAGCACGTTTGCTGATTAAATGGCAGAAATAGAGAAGGTTTCTATGGGGCATAGGTGAGGAAGCACATAGCAGCGGAAGATCACTCACTTCCAATGAGACTGTTCAAAGTCTGCAGCATGATTTAGTGAGAGCCTGGAGGTAATTAGCAGCAGAGGAACCTTACTCAATTCCTTCCTCCTTCAGCCAAGTAACATCTTCCTGCTGAACAATCAGGACCAAAGGCTGACGTAAGGGGACTCTGGTTTTCACTGTTATTTTAATGGTTTATGGTGGGTGTGGGCACTGATTAGGAAAACCATCTTGCCAGGGAGGAAACTGTTTCTGAGATAATCACCTGATCCAAGTTTTTCAAACGTAGAACCCAACTTTTACAGATGTGATTTCTCAGGGAAGAAAGGCTAGGCTAAATACCAATAGATGGACTACTCACTCACAGACTTAAGAGTTGTTAAAACACTGATCCATTCATTCCAGGACCTGTGGGAGCTCAGGCAGTTGGTTCTCGTTCTCAGCTTTACCAAGAATGGTAGATGGTGGACAGACAAGAGTCAACTGAACCCCAGGAAAGACTAGAAGAGGAGGATCACAAGGTCACAGATCTTGACTCCCCAAGGAGTGCCTCTCAAATTATACTTCTCAGGGCTCCTTAAAAATGGTCTTCTTTAAGGCTGAGGCAGGCAGATTGCCTGAGCTTAGGAGTTCCAGACCAGCCAGGGCAACATGGCAAAACCCAGTCTCTACTATAAACACAAAAATTAGCCAGCTGTGGTGGCGTGCGCCTGTAGTCCCAGCTACTCTAGAGGCTGGGGCACGAGAATTGCTTGTGCTCAGGAGGTGGAGGTTGCAGTAAGCCGAGAGATTGTGCCATTGCACTCCAGCCTGAGTGACAGAGAGAGACTCTGTCTCCACACACACACACACAAAAGGTCTTCTGTAATCAGTCCCAAGAGCCACTGTGTCTTTCATTCATTCCAGACATGGCTTTTGTTTTCACCATCCCATCTTCATGCCAGTGCAATCAGTGCAACGGCTGTCCTCAGCAGCTTTGTGGACATTCTTGGTCCTATCGAAGACGAGTAAAGCTCTGGAAAAAAAAAATTATACATACGCACACACGCACACATACACAGATATAGATATAAACAGATATATATATATATATATGAGACAGAGCCTTGCTCTGGCACCCAGGCTGTAGTGGGGTTGCATGACCTCTTGGGTTCAAGCAATTCTCCTGCCTCAGCCTCCCAAGTAGCTCGGATTATAGGCACATGCCACCATGCCCAACTAATTTTTGTATTTTTAGTGGAGACGGGTTTCACCATATTGCCCAAGCTGGTTTCAAACTCCTGACCTCAGGTGATCCACCTGCCTTGGCTTCCCAAAGTGCTGGGGATTACAGGCGTGAACCACCACACCTGCCCAGAACTCTGTAAAATATTTGAAGAGACTTATAGAACTGTGTAAATTATTGAAGAGATTTATTCTGAGCCAACTAGGAGTGACCATGGCCCGTGACTGGTCCTGAGAACATGTGCTCAAGGTGGTCAGGGTGCAGCTTGGTTTTATGCATTTTCGAGAGGCATGAGACATCAATCAAATACATTTAAGAAATACATTGCTTTGGTCTAGAAAGGTGGGACAACTCAAAGAGTTGAGGGGTCTTCCAGACTATAGGTGAATTTAAACATTTTCTGGTTGACAGATGGCTGAGTTTGTCTAAAGACCTGGGATTCACAGAAAGGGAATGTTCAGGCTAAGATAAAGACTGTGGGCTGGGCACAGTGGGTCACATCCATAATCCCAGCACTTTGGGAGTCCAAGGTGGTCGGATCACTGGAGGTCAGGAGTTCCAGACCAGTGTGGCCAACATGGTAAAACCCCATCTCTGTTTAAAATACAAAATTAGCTGGGCGTGGTGGCGGGCACCTGTAATCTCAGCTACTAAGGAGGCTGAGGCAAGAGATTCGCTTGAACCCAGGAGGCGGAGGTTGCAGGGAGCCAAGATCATGCCACTGCACTCCGGCCTGGGCAACAAGAGGGAAACTCCATCTCCACCTCCCTGGTTCGAGCGATTCTCCAGTCTCAGCCTCCCAAATAGCTGGGAATACAGGTGCCCAACACCACGCCCTGCTAATTTTGTATTTTTAGCAGAGACAAAAATTGAGGGGTTTCACCATGTTGGCCAGGCTGGCCTTGAACTCTTGACCTCAGGTGATCTGCCCACCTTAGCCTCCCAAAGTGCTAGGATTACAGGCTTGAGCCACCACACTGGGCCTCTTTTGAAGTCTTATAATGACTGCCCTTAGATACAGTAGATGACAAATACTTCCTATCAGACTTAATCTCTTAAGGATTGGGGGGGTCTGGAAGAAAAAGATCTAGCTATATTAATAGAGATTCTTTACAGATGTAAATTTCCCCCCACAAAGAACAGCTTTGCAGTGCCATTTCAAAATATAGCAAAGAAACATGTTTTGGGGTAAAATATTTTTATTTTCTTCCTTGTCTCGTAATGTTATGCCAGAGTCAGATTGGAAAGCAAATCACAATATATAGGGTTAAATAAAACCCATCTGATGAGAATTTATTATTTGTATGGCATCACTCTCCAGACTCGTTACACAAGAATTTGGGCAAAAAAAAAAAAAAAAATCGCCCCGCGCGGTGGCTCGTGCCTGTAGTCCCAGCTACTCGCGAGGCTGAGGTGGGAGAATCGCTTGAGCCCAGGAGTTCCGGGCTGTAGTGCGCCATGCCAATCGGGTGTCCACACTAAGTTCGGCATCAATATGGCGACCTCCCGGGAGCGGGGGACCACCAGGTTGCCTAAGGAGGGGTGAACTGGCCCCAGTCGGAAACGGAGCAGGTCAAAACTCCCGTGCTGATCAGTAGTGGGATCGCGCCTGTGAATATAGCCACTGCACTCCAGCCTAGGCAACACAGTGAGACCCGGCTCTTAAAATAAATAAACAAAATGATTTATGAAAAAAAAAAATCAGAGTTTAGTTCTCAGTACTGTGGTCATTCTCCCCTTCCCCCAACCCCCAAAAGTTTTTCTGGAAACAACCTATGGTCATTCTTCAGACACTGGGTCTTGCACTCCCACCACCTCCAGATCCCTTAAAATGTGAACAATGAAAACTAGACTCAACTTCTACCAGGCCGGTCGTTGTGGCTCATGCCTGTAATCCCGCCACTTTGGGAGGCTGAGATGGGCAGATTACTTGAGATCAGAAGTTTGAGACCAGCCTGGCCAACATGGTGAAACCTTGTTTGTACTAAAAATACAAAAAATTAGCTAGACAAGGTGGCATGCACTTGTAATCCCAGCTACTTG